TTCAAACTACATTAACTGACTGCGTTGATTAATAATAATTGCTCCAAATACTAAAAAACTGAATTTTGTATGGGTATTAGACAGTATGATAAAAAGTAACACCTTAAAAATGATATTCCATTTTTTAATAAATGCTTATTTATAACAAAAGAGACTTTAATTTTGATAACTTATTATTATATTGATTTCTGACTCAAATCCACATTTATTTAGAATAATTTATTAACGAATACAATTATTAAGTATGTAATTAATTAGTATATGGGCGGAAATAATGGTGTTATATTTAATTAATGGTATACTTTTTATAAAGATTTAAATAGTTTTCTTTTTGCATACAATATTATCGTTTTTAGCAAAACGATAATATTACTAGAATGTTAATATATGATGTCAATATTCCATAGGTGTCAATAATAAAATGTCAATATTCCATGGGTATATTGATAAATGAGGTCTAAATTATAAGAAAATGCATTTTCTACGAAAACTTGAAGGGATAGGTAAAAATGGTATAACACAATTTGATAGATAATTAAATTGTGCATCTGATTCTTCTAAAATATACAGGGCGTTCTATTTAAATTAAAGAAGTTATTGGCGTTTAAAAAAGGTAGAAGTATTTAAAATAAATTTTTAGACACTCTGTATAAGGTAGTATTATTTTTATTATTGCAACACAATAACTGATCAATAAATAAACTTCAGTAAATATTTAGTATTAAAAACTTTGATACCCTTGGAGAAATGAAGCCTTAAAATTTTTACTGCAATTTCACAAAATTGTAAATATTTCAAAAACGGTAAGGTTTAAGTATAATAAACCTTAATCAAATTTACCTTTATTTTAATCGTAGATACTAAAAATGTAATAATATACAGGGTGTTCCATTTAAAAAAATACATCTTTGATATTTTTTACTTATTTGGGACACTCTGTATCTTGTAAAGTTATTTTTAAATTGTACCTCTAATAGTCCTTCATCGAACCCAAAACTTGAAATGTGTAAAAATATAATCGTTTAGCTACAATACTCCGTGTCGTATGTGGTGAACAACCCTGTATATTTTATATAGCTTTATTACATGTGTTTCCAATGTGGTGGCACTAGCTGTTTCCTGAAATGTTTCTTAGCGGAATCAAAATTTTACAGGAAATGTTTCGAAACATTTTCTGCAATTTATGTCCAAGATGTTCCCGTTTTCAGCAGCCACTGTTTCTAAATATGAAGAAACAAAATACCAAACTAAAATATTCTATGTCTGTGTGTGGATTTAAAAATGAAAACAACCATCAACAACGTCCGCCATAATTTGTTTGTCTTAAGATCTTCGTTTTTAGGTTTTCTCACACAAAAAATGTTTGGCAAAAGCAAATTCATCGTTTAATTTAATAATGTACTTTCATATTTTTAATGCCCCTTCTATATATCATTATTTGTTGCTATAAAATATTTTTGTTTTAAATATAGATTTTTATTTTTATTTCTATATCATGGTTCTGAAAATAAAAATATATAAATTAATGTAAATAGAACGCGTTCTTATAAGTTTAAAAGCTCAACAGCCGATAAAAACATATCTTTTTAGTAAATACTGTCACCAGCCAACATGGTTTTTGGAATTTTAATTAATTATTTTATAAAATTAACATGGAGTCGGACATGAATCATCTACATTATATGATATCTGTGTCTAAAAGAGAGACACTCGTCTTTCTCAAATAAATCGACAATAAATGGAAACCTTGTTTCCAAAATGTATCGATTTAGCGCTCTGTGTATAAATTTCGAACTAGTCATCTGTCAACAACGCCAATCAAAACTTTTGGTCAAAATAATTAAAACATTTTTATTTACTTATTAATATTAACAAAAACATGTATTCGATTGTAGAAAAAAAAAAGAGAAAAAACGTATGCTACAGTCTGTGAAACGAATAACTTTGAATTTGACAGTTCCCACGGGCTTTTCTAGTGTTAATTTTATTAGGTTAGCAACTTGCGACCATGCTGACACAATGCCGTCTCTAATAGAACAGCCTCGGAGCGAGATTTATGACGTCACGCTAACATAATTATTCCTTATATTTGACTATGGCTGAAATCGTACTCCATAGTTAATGTAGATAGTTTTAGTGTTAAGAATAATAATTTAAAAAAAATATGTGGTCATCTTTTGACAAGTTTATATTAGTTTATTAATTGCAGTAAACATTATGTGGTTTGGTTTGGTGTCAATATTTTATATGCAATTTTTTGGATTATATTCGACACTATATTTTTATATGACACAACACTGATGAAGGCTATAATGTTAGCCGAAAAGTTTTTTTTAAACCAAAAAAATAATTAAAAACCTAATAAAAACTAAATCAGCGTTTTTCGCGAACCTAAATCCCAAGAAAATCAAAAATTTTAGAATAATTTTACATTATAAAATGACAGCGATCTTTATTTCATAGCAATCGCTGACGCATTTTTTTCTATGATATTGTATTATTTGCAAATATAATTTTTAATGATACTTGCAAAATATATGTACATATAAATTTTGTGAATGCAAATAATAATACATCACTATTAGTATATATTGAATGTTTTTTCTTAAATTAGATCGATTTTCAAGCCCCAAAATTTAAAATATATTTTACATTTTACACATTATCTTATGTACCTATTCATTATATGTATATTGTAAAACATTTGCTGCATTTGTATGGTTCATAGTTTATTTGCCAAAGTATTTATTACTATAAATAGGTATATATTATATTTATTAACTGTATATTATGTATATTTCATGTAAACTATATCATTTTTAAAATACAAACCAAAAATACGAGGAATAATTATGTTTTCCATGTATTCTACAACATATTTATTAATCCGTATCTAATTAGCGTGACGTCATAAATCTCGCTCCGAGGCTGTTCTATTACAGACGGAATTGGTCTGATATTTAGAAATGTCAAAAGCTGATGACATTTTACTTTTGACAATTATGCCATTTCGTGTTGATTTTTGCAAGAAGAGGAAGAACTGTCACTTGTTTTATTATTTTCCTTTTCTATTTCACGTAAGTAAAAAGAGTTACCTATCTCATTCGTTCAGGCACTCATTTTAAAGAATATCAGTAACTTTTTTGACAGAGGGATTTTATATTTGCCATGTTGGTAAAAAATAACGGTCAAAATTCAAAGTTATTCATTTTATAGACTATAGTAATATTTTTCTTCGGTCTCCTGTTGGTTATGGGTAGTGGCTGTTATTACGTTTATTCCTAAAACAAACTGCTTCTGCTTTTTTAATTATAGTACTATAAAATCTTGAAGAATGCTTCAATGCAAAAACTGCAGAACAAACTCCAAACAATAAAGTAAGGTTATGTTCTCATATTTGACACAGAATGTCAAATAAATTATGGAAACTTTACAGGCACAAAACGGGTACGAAATCTTTGTAAATATGTGAGCCACATCTGTTTCTTAAAAGTTTCGAGAAATTTGTAACACTAAGCTCTTTATTGTAGTGAAACCATATTTTGGTAAAATGTTTCGAAACAAAAAGCGATTTGTGCTACGAAACATACAGGGTGAGTTTCCTACGATGTTCTCTATGTGTATCTCGGAAACTACTGGAGATAGAGAGTCGGTTAAATGGGGAAAGAGTTGCAGTTTTATGGGGTCAGAAATATGCGCCTTTCAGATTTTTGAAAAAGTTCATGGCTTACTAGATATTTCGAAAAAAACAAATTTCGGCTATTTCAAAAATTGTCCCTAATTCCATTATAAGCTATTTTAGACAACAAATTTTCAGGTAAAAGTTGTAGATAATCACATCCTTAATGAGGCTGTGTCCTCCGTTTTTTTCTAAAGCCTGTCATTTTTGACATATGACACAAACCTAGGTTTTTTTAAATGGAAACCATAGTTGCGCGAAACCGTTGGCGCTTTTCATGAAGTCATGGCCAACTATGGTTTCCATTTAAAAAAACATATGTTTGTGTCATATGTCAAAAATGACAGGCTTTAGAAAAAAACGGAGGAGACAGTCTCATTAAGGATGTGATTATCTACATGATTATCTCCAACTTTTATCTGAAAACTTTGTCTAAAATAACTTATAATGGAATTAGGGACAATTTTTTAAAATAACCGAAATTTGTTTTTTCGAAATATCTAGTAAGCCATGAACTTGTTCAAAAGGCATATTTATGACCCCAATAAAAACTGCAATTCTTCCCCATTTAACCGATTCTCTATCTCCAGTAGTTTCTGAGATACCCATAGATAACATCGTAGGAAACTCACCCTGTATGTATCAAAAATGTGACGAAACTGTTTCGCAATGTTTCTCAGCAGAGATGTTCTTTCGATTTTGTGTCTAAAAATGTTACTTGGGTAAATTCGGGTTTATCAGTGTCGTTCAAATTATATTTAAAAAGTATAAAAATACAACCTTATGAAATAATAGAGAAATTACGAAATAAAATAATAAAGACACATATTTTCAACGGCGTATCTTTTGAGGTTTATGCTTATTTCCATAGAAAAATATAGAGAAACATTAAATTTAATTCTCCGAACTAAATGAACAAAATAAAACAACTGACTGTTAGTTTTTTTTTATTAAATTAATATCTCCTGTTCTCGCTTTCGTGTTTTCTCGTCTGCAAACCAGCCTCACCCGTTTACAAACACAACAAAGAGAAATATTTACTGGTGTATTATTAAATTCGCGAAACGTGTGGCTGAAACGTTTAGAACTGCGACAATATTTATCTCTTTTTTGATTTCCCGTTCGTTCCAAAAGTTTTGTACAAATCGCTTTGTGCTTTATTTACGTTCAATTTTATATTTACAATACAATGTATACGTTTATTTTATTTTATTTCGTGTTTTGATTGGAGAAAAACGTTTATTGATACTACGTGTATTGATGTTTATTTTAAAATATTTTAAATTTTCCGACAAGAATTAATTTTATGTTTTTGTTTCAGTGATTGGATGACAGCTATAAGTAATACGGTAAGTAGATAGTATTAGTACTGTAACGTTTTTAGTTCGTTACATGTCTTTTATATATGTATGATATATAACGTCTGGCGTATCGTCATCGTATTCCGTATCGATCAGGCCTGATAATTTATTTGACACGCTTGGCGTAATTTTTACGTTCTCTAGTCGACAACCCTGTTATCGTTTCACTGCTCTGTGGAGATCAATGGTTTCACAAGGTTTCGCTCTCCGCGATATAACCTCATCTTTGGTTTGCCGGCTGTCGCCATCAGCAACCCGGCTTAGAGAAATGGTAATTATTTAAAGGCTGTACTTAAACTGCCGTTAAACGGTAGCTTACTAAAATGCCGTTAATAGGTATGACGTCGTTGATGTAACGTACTTGACGGCTTTATGAAATATAGGAATTTTATAAGGACTAACCAACGCTATCCACCCCACCAAATAACCAACTTAACCAACGCAACTAACCTCGACACTGATAAAAAAAATTAAAAAACAAATATAAATTAGTAAAAACCAACCAACTCCACCAAATAACCAACTAACCAATGAATTAACACCCTCCAAATAACCACGTTAACCAACCCGCCAAATAACTAAACCAATCCAACCAAAAAGAGTGAAACCAATGCAATAAGATCACGCTATAAGCAAAAAAAATATAAAAAGTCTTGGTCGGCGTGAGATTTAAACCCCGGCCCATTCGCTCACGAAGCGATAGTCTCAGCCACGGAGCCACAGGGACTCTTGCAAAATGCTTATGGCTAGGCATTACTTTCCGCCGACATGAACGACCTCACAATATCTATTAACGGCATTTTAGTAGGCTACCGTTTAACGGCTGTTTAAGTACATCATTATTTAAATCTGGCTGCATAATCTGAATCGGCTGCTATTTCGAAGCAACAGGTAAAGATGAGATATTATCCTTTTTAGATTCGATATTATCACTGAGTATTTTTAGGGTAGAGTTTTGGATTGGCTCAACTCAACTCGTATTTGGTATTTGCTGGCACGTTGGTTTTCTTATGCTGTTGTCCTCCAGAATGTTGAATGGAAGAAAGGACAATTGCCTTTCTTTATTATAGAGCCCTCCGAAGTATTTCGAGGTAGGTTTATTGTGTTTATTACACCTTGATAGGTTTTAAACACGAGTTTCATATTTTTAGGGTCCAAGGCACGGGTAGTGTTCCAAGGTATGGACAGTATCCTATGGACAGATGTTGTAGGGGTGTAGTTCCCATGTACGGATGATTTGTCCTATGTTTGGATTGCCTCAGTGTGGATGTAGCGTAAGCCCCATGCTGCTTTGCTCCTATTTTTAAGCCTAGTCAATAGTTACGGCTATATTGGTGTCCTCGTTCTGACCCCTTTCATTGTATTGACCAACGGTGAAGCCGAGAGGGAGTGCAGAGATACAAGCCCAATTCATGCTGTACTGTTTGAAGCAGGATTGTCTAAAGAACAAGCAGCTATGTTTAATTTTAAGTTCACATTTTACGTTTTACATTTTCAGTCTTGAATAATATCGTACAGACTTTACGTCTAGTGGTTAACCTTTTTATGTCAGTTTAGTATTTAAAATATGATTTAGATCTTAGGTTTCGTTACGAACATATCTTGTAATAGTATTACTTTCTGTATATATCTATTGCGTGATTTTAACAGATGAATAACCAAACATCGATTCTAGAATCTACGACTTGCAACATCTCAGATTTAACATCGTGTAAAATATAACAATTCAAATAAAGTAATGCTATCGTTTATATATTTTCTATAGCTTTATCTATATTGTAATTTTCGATAGTCTTTTTCATTGAACATATATATTTAGTACTATTTTTAACATAACTTTTTTCGACATTACAACCACTATAATGATTAAAATTTTACAATGTTATTTACCATCGGAGTCCATCGTGAATAAATATAGTCATTAGTTTTAAGTAATATACAACTGTGTTTTCTACCTCTGTTCATCCCTGGCGCCCAATATTTATATTTTTTGGTTTATTATTGTTAGTTAGTTTTTTCTCCACGACGTATCCACGACTGCTCTACCGACGAAAAGCTGCCCTTCGCAGTGGTAATGTTTAAAAAACGTTATAGTACAGTCGAATAATAACCAGCCTAGTGTGCTACATAACTGTATTTGGGAGGTCATAAGTTTTGAAAAAATGAAATTATAAATCCAAATCTCTATAAAAAATATCGTTGATGATGGTATATCGGTAACAAAACGTCACATTGAAAGTTCCCACGGCCTTACAGATCTATTGTGAGCCCCTTTCTTGAGTTATAATTGATCATACAGTCCCAGGGCTTTGACAAAAGCCATTACTCTCTTTATGTCGCCATCACTTTATTTTGTGAGATAGAGCAAAATACTGTATCAAAAAAATTACAAATTTCTCGATGATTACAATCATAGAGTTAAAAATTAAAAATTACAATAGTAATATTTAAAACACCCTGTTCATTTTTAGAAAACCCCTGTTTTCTGATTGGCTATCAGAGAAACGCCCCCTAGCGGACATTTTTCGAACTTGAAAATAATTTCCAGCGATTTCTCTTGGTCGATTTACTTATTATAATTTTTTCTTAAAGTTATACGATAAGTAGTTTCTGAGATAGAGCTAGCGTCCATTCTTAGTTGCCCACCAGGTACATAACGTCTACTACAAAAAGTCGTACATTGCGTTATTCAACGTCTTCCTCAATTAGTTCACAAAGTAAATAATTGGAGTTTGTAATAGTTTTAAAACTGTGGAAGCCTCACTGAAACTTTGATGCTTCCCCATTCGTCTCAACACAAACCGGACAAAAACTTTTTATCTTCGACCTCTTCCGAATTTAATGATAAAGGACGATGGAGAAACAATGGACCCGTCCGATCATTAATCATGCAACTCTAAACTTAAGACTGGTTCTAAGCTAATGATAAAATAAACCGTAAGTTAATTACGAGGGCATCAAAAGTTTAATTGAACTTGGTACATACTTTATTGTTTATTTATAAATTACTTAATTTGTGTGAAAGTAAAGAGGGGAAAATATAATTAAACGTTTTAATTAATTTTTAATTTAAGAAATTTAAGAAACTATTTTCTCTCTTGAAAAATACGAAAATGCCAAATAGAAAATGCGTTGCTTTAAAATGACCTAACTTTTTCAAACCTGTTTAACCTCGTTTTTTTATAAATTAGTAATGCCAGAATGTCTTTCCTGGAATTATTTCAATTTATCCAGGGTGAGTCTTAAATAAATGCAAATATTTTCAGGGCTGGTAGATAAGTTAAAAAATCCAAAATAATCGAGATATTTTACTTTGAAAATTTTAAAAAAATATATTTTTTTGTTTAAGTTTTGAGAACCAATGGATCTTTCCTGGATTTTCTTTCTTGTAAATTTCACCTACTACCTATGTCGGCATATTATAAAGATATGTTTTTTAAGTATAAATTCAAAAAAAAATCCAAAAATATAAAAAAAAATCTAAATTTTCATTTTTTTTGCAAAAAAACTTCATGGATGTGTGTCTGGGGTCGAAATATACTACCCTTAATAATGTTTGCACTTATTATATAATACAAATAAAAAATGTTTGTACAAAATACTGTTTGATTCAAACTTAATTTTTAGAACATATACATGGTATAACGTTCCTTTCTCTAATTAAATCATCTTTGTATCTCTTTTCTGGTGTATAACATCTATGTAGAGTTCATTTTTATATAGAACACCGTATATAGATTAAATATAACACAACACTGAAAATAGGAAATGGTAGAATAATACAATTGTTATATTATTTGGGACAACTAATAAATATCGCTCTGGATCTTTACTACCAGAAATCAACAGAAGAATTAAATTAGCATGAAGAAACTCAATGATAATTATACGATCAAACGAACTTACCTGAAGTGAAGTTCGATCGTAATTATATGAGGCGTCCAGTCCGAATGTATTATCTTGATTTTTCTATACGTAGTACCGTCCCTGCGTGCACAATTTTAAAGCTATAAGCTAAATTCCCTCCCGTTGCTAGTCTAGGTGGCGGCGCCGGCCCTGGCGCGGCGGTCGGTATTCATTTTTCAAAGATTTATTCATTAATTCAAGCGACCATGGGGCAAAACGGGAAGGGTGGGAGGATAATACATTCGGACTGGACGCCTCATATAATTACGATCGAACTTCTCTTCCTAGTTGCTGAGCTTGTGTTTGATCTGTTATGAGATAGTGACACTTAAATAGCGACTATCCTGCTTTTTGAACGTACAGCCTTATAAATATAATGTCTGGAGGAGTTTTCCTGTTGAAATATACGGTTTTTTTTTGAGGGTCTAAAATTTTTAGATTTGTCACTTGAAATTCTTTTGTGAAATCTACTTCTACGATAGCGAGACCGAGAACGTCATTTATAAAAAGGAATCCCTTTCACATGGAGAAGGGCATTCACTAAAATTACAAAATTTTGTATCATTGAGACAACACTTCGGCTATTATAATATTATCTCGATAGCGAGATCTGGAATATCTTAAAAAAAAGGAATCCCTCTCACACGGAGTAGAGGATTCTCTAAAAGTACTCACCTTTGTCTCGCTATGAAAAGAACACTGGGAGAAGAACAGCCCGTGTTTATACAATATTCCTCATCCCTTTGTTTTCTCCTTTCCTCTAATCCCCACATTTCGGGATGTACTTCTATTTATTTCCATCCAATATATATTATATATCTAAAAATAAATATTCTAAAACACTTACATGTAATACGTGTAATTAATTTTTCGATAAGGCTATCGATAACGTATAAAAGAAATCCCTCCCACACGGAGATGGGCATTCTCTAAAAGTACGAAATTTTGTCTCACTGGGAGATACAAACATTTGGCACCTAAATATACTCGTATAAATAATATTCTGTTGAGAGCGAGATCTAAAATCTCATAAAAAAAAGAAATCCATCTCACACAGAGATAGGCATTTTCTAAAAGTACAA